AATGAATCGTCTCATATATGTATGTTTCTCACTTGTACGTGGAAACATTGCTGAGATATAGGAAAGGAAATTGAATGATAGCTTTTTATTATGGATGGCAAGGACTGGATAATGATTTTGAATAAGCAAAACAATTAAAAGAAAGTTAAAAAGATTGAATAAAAGGAATTGTATCAGAAACTTTCATGCATTCGAGACAGGAGGGCGGGGCGGAGGCGGTGTGAGAGTGAGTCCGGGGTATCTTTTGCAGTAAGTATTTGTTATCGCGATTGGCGAGTAAGAAAAAGTGGGAAAAAAACATCTGAGCTAACGTTCTATAAGAGACAGAAGTAATTGTCGTCTTAGTCTATTCCCATTGCTTGTAATTGTCTCGAGGCTACTTCATACGGCTTTGAAGCGGTATTCAGTTTTTGTATATGTGTGTGCGGAGACGTTGCTACCCGGGGCCGGTGATGAAATTAATGTTTTCACACCTTCTACATTTCCCATTTTGCAAGCAATTTTATATTTCTGTAGTTTAAGCATTTCCCATTTTGCAAGCAAACATTTTATCAAAAATTTTCCCATTTTGCAAGGAAGTAATTAACAAAAAAATGTATATATTACAACGATAAATGTATAGTACAACAATATGTGCTACTCCACGTCTTTTCCACCAACGTTATGTATGAACTGGTAGGCAGTTTTTCTTATGTGTTCTAAATATTCTTTTATGTCAATTGCTCCAATGGTTAAGGTTGTTTTTGCCAAACATAAGGCAAAATTGGTATCTTCATTTTCTTTCCGGCGCTTTTTAGACGGTAATCCAGTGTTGGATTCTAATATATCATGGCACCGAGCGAAATCTTCTTCTTTGCGAATTTGTTCTATCCAACGATATAGATTGGGATGAGCTGGTACACGTCTGCAAATGCATTGTATATATGCATATATTGTTTCATAATCAACCTGTCATTATTATGCTTTAAACTAGATTAGATTACGAATCCTTTGATCCAAAAAACAAGTTTCATTTTGCGACTAAAAAGATTCGTTTTAAGTACTCTAATAATTATAATTAATTAATCAGACAACGTTTAGATTTATAATACAAATTCTTTCTCTTCTATTAGATAGTATGCTTGCAAAACGGGAAAATTTTGGTTAGTTTTTTTGCTTGCAAAATGGAAAATGGACAACATTTGAAAAAACGTTCGTGCTTGCAATTTGGGAAATCATAAAATAATCAAAAATAAAATTGCTTGCAAAATGGGCATGAGCCAAAATGTGTGTGATATCTGTTTTGTTATTAAAAGAGATAAGCTATCTGTAATATAGATAAAACACAAAATGAATCGTTGAAAATGATATGAATTTCTTCAAACGCATAATAAACTATAAGCTTAATTAAGCTCGTATCGGTCATTCCTCTATTCGTTCTATCAATCGTTGTGTACATCTGACGATTTTCAATACGTGACCATCAGTCAGCTGTCAATACTGCGAAATCTCTTCTCGAAAAACAAAGTTTTAAAGAATCATGTACGTATAATTATTTCACAAAATTGCCCATGATCCCACGATCTATAGAATAGAACTTTCATTATCTGTAATTATCAGGGTGTATTTGTCTCGACATATCGGTTTTTAGTCAGATGTATTTCGTCTTTAGTTATGGAAGAATCTTAATCCCAAAGAAATAATTCGGCCTATGCACATTCCTCAATCAAATAATCTTCGAACTTGTATCCTGTTTTTCCTGTCATTAATTTTTCACCATTTGCGTGTGATAATGAAAATGACAGCCAGTTGTTGACTCAGGAAACAAAAAATATTATTCAAAATTTAGCAAATGCGTGTGAACATGTTGGCTTCTTTTATGCCATTGGTAAATACAGACAGACGATGATTTGTTTTCTTTATTGTAACAAAAACACTTTTTTAGGTCATGGTATTTCAAATAATTTACTCACTCGCACATTAGCAGTGACGCGTGAATTTTTTAATCTAGATTTAGAAATAAAAAATAAATATGCAGTGAGACAATATTTGAATTCTTCGGCAAAAATGTCATCTAATCAACGGGGTGGTTTTGGTCGAGGTTATCAAAGTCTTGGAGAAAATGTGACAAATAAACGACGAGATCGTCATGAAGGCTTCGATTTATATCGTGAACTAGAAAGGTATAAAATGTGTTTGACTCTAACTCCATTTATATCATCACTAATATATTTGATTTAACAGTAATCATCCACTTCGAAAATTATTTGAACAAAATCCAAATAGTGATAAGTTACCAGATTATCGTGAATTGGCTATAGGATATAATCCTTATCCTCAAGAACCATTACCATCTGGAATATTTTATGATGTTATCTCTGAATATATAGCAAGCATGAAACATGCCGGTGAACGAATAATGCGTGCAATAGCTCTTTCACTCAATTTACCATTAAATTATTTTGCCTCAACATTTGACGATTCATTTTGGGTAAGATTATTAAAAGAAGAAAAAATGCTGAACTAGCAAAATCACTTGATAATACTGAATCAATTACATTTCATCCAAAAACAAAATGGACTGAACAACCATCTACTCAAGATATGATTCGAGAAAAAGGCATATTACGTGAACGATTTGGATGAGAAGTGGATTTTCATGATTTTAAAATGCCATTTATGGATAATGCGTCAAAGCGTTTAGAAAAAATGACGCTACCTGATATCAAAATCTAATGTAGAAAAAAGTGTTGTGAGCTAAACGGTGGAAGAAAAGTCAAATGATTTTGACAATGATTATTCTCTTTTTCTACGTGCTGTTATAATTCTATTTTCTATTAACTTGTTATTAGAATCAGATTAAAATACTTATTTTTTTTGTGAATATGGGGTAAGTGCCTTTCTTTGTTTTTTAACATATCTCGTGTAATAATCATTTTACTTGTATTTTAATGAGTTGCGACTATGTCTAGTACAATCGTGACTTGTGCCTTAACAGAAATGGTGATGGATGTGCCTTCCAAGTGCTGCTTTTATTAACCGTCTTTAAATGCAATCTTCCTTTTAGGAGCTTCATTGCCTTTCTCTGTGTATTCTTTTTTCCTAAAAAGGTTTTGTTACGTTTATATATATCTTTGCTGATATTTATTTTCTGTGGAGTTTTTCGTAAATCTTTGTAGTTTACAATAAAAATTCAATATTTGAGATATGGTGGTCACATTTCTGCAGCTTTGTTCATGGCTTTCTTTCTGTACGATGTAAAAAACACGAGTGGAGCCTTATAGATATGTCTCAATTAACTCGAAAATTCTGTCCTATCTGGCTTATTCGTTTAAAAAGGTGAATAATATAATAGAATATTTTATAATGATAGACAAATGGCTGTTACCATCATATAAACTTCGATAAGAAGTACAAAAACTTGGTATTCGATGTAAATATATTAAGAGAAACTCTAATACTAGAAAGCAGCAAGGAAGAACGTACAATAAGCGCAATAATTTTTCAATCACTCATCAATTGTACACAAATGCAAAATTAAATTATTTGTTGGCGCTATACCTACAGTAGTGTAGACTTAACCTTTGAATATGGTATAAATATTGACCATAAAATGCAATTATTCTTTATATTTAATTATCATTCGGATCATTTGAAACCGTAAGATACGGGGTATTACGCGAATAGCGAGTTGAGAATTTTGACATGGATCGTCATCATGCCTTTTGCCTTATAGTCACTGTGTGTTTTGAGCCTAAACTCAGATCATTT